AGCTTTATTGAGATCACCCACAAAAATGGCTGTGTATTTTATATAGTTGTATATTTTAGCATTAAAATCTACAAGTAACCATACGTATTTATGTTTAGCTATATTTAGTGTCTATTCAGCTCAGTTTTGTGTTGAAGTTGGTGAAAACCATTAAAAAATGGATAGAAAAAACATTTAAATTGACAGTATATAATCTTAATTCATACATCTAATACACTGGGCTGTTTTCCTGAACTAATATTAAGCTTAATCGTTCACTAAAAAGGCTTTTCAATGGTAAACCAGGAAATATTTCTGATTAGATTAGATATAAGATAATCCAATTGGATAAGGAAGGGGGAGGTCAAAGGAAAATAAATGAAAAGTTTCCAAAAGTTAAAAGCTACAAAGAAAATGTGGCTCCTAACACCCATCTGGAAGAGCTGGTAGACACCAAAACTGCCCCCATCAGATAAACAACACTTAAAGCTTTCATCTTTGAGAGAGAGGAGAAAATCAAGCTGCTTCAGATCTGAAAACATCCACAGGTGTTTCTGTCCATCCTTCCACTGTGAGAAGACAACTCAGCGCTATGGGTCTGAAAGGACGTGTAGCTGTCAAGAAGCTTCACTGAGAAAAGTAGACGGACACATCAAACAAAGAAGCTGAACAATGGACTGACCACCCCAGAGTCCAGACCTCAACATCACTGAATGTGTTTGAATACTTCAGAAAATGTTTAACCAGCTTCTAAGACTGAACTTTGGAGGTGTGTCAGCAGATTTAGACGAAGATAGATGAAGGGTGGTGTCTGACTTTTGCACAATATAAATAGTTGCTTTTTCTATTAACTTTACACATTATGAATTTACACATGTAAGTACATATAATTAACCCCCTTTAATGTTATTTCACCATTATGCTGTTAAATTTAGTCACTTAAGCAACTGATTTTCACCTTTGCGTACGACTGTATGTGCTTAAATTATTAACATGCGACTCAATGATTATAATATATTCTTAGTGATAATTACTGACATGTAATATTTTAGATGGCTTTCTTTGAGCAGTGTTTATGCTCGTGATGCTGTACAGGGTGATGCGTGTTTCTGAATGTTTTGTGAAGAGTTTTATGGTATTACACTCATTCAGATTGAGCCACTTATCAAAATCTAGAAGAACAGGAGAGTTTTGGAGCACCAGCTTCTGTTCCAGGTCATTTTAAACAATGGTATTGGTCTATTCATCATACAATGCTCATGCAGTGTAAATGGCAGCTGTTGTTATAAAACAAGGTAAAAAAAAAAGAAAAAGAAAGAAAAAATGAATAAGGAAGTTTTGATATGACCACGATGCTTTGCTCTTAGCAACATTACATGCCTGGTGCCTCCATGCAGGCAGTTCTGATCCATCTCTACTCCCTCCCAGCTCCTCCAGCATTGATGGGACCTTGTCCAACAAGGAAATATCTCACGCCTGGCTGAGAAAATGCAGCACAGAAAGAACCATCTGATAATGATAGACTGCCTCAGAGTTAACCCTTTAATTTGTTTGACTACCGCAGCATAAACACAGTGATGGAAATGAAAAATGATGAATGAGCCCTGCTATTGTATTTAAAGACAATGTCCCTTTTTATTTTTTTATCATCTCAGTTTCCATTCGCAGTTCTTCCTCTCACACTGTCTCAGAGGAAATCACCCCTAAACACAGCGATTAAGCATTTCCTCTAGAGTTTAGCTGTGGTTTTCAGTGCAGTCTTGCTCAAATCCCTCTGGAATGTGGAGTTTCTCACAGCAATGTTCATCAAACTGTGGTTTTAGGAGCATCTGAAGTTGACTATTCTCTGATGATGATGATTATTATAATTATTATTATCCTCTTCACTCATTTCCATTTGATCAAGTAGTGCAGAGCCAATTCATATGGACTTACCTTTAGCAATGTCAACAAGTATGTTTACATGCACTCAATAATCCGATCATAATCAGATTTCTGCAGTTATCTGAATTGTCATGTAAACAGCACACTCTGATTTCTGTTCATGTAAACTCTGATTTAAACTTTTACTCTGATTTCTTTCGGATTTCTCAGTCTGCACATGTGCGAAAACAGACGGCAGTACCAGAAATAAGCAAGCAGCACTGCCACGTGACGGCAGCAAAACACTTTTGGAGCGATGCTGAAACTGACTACATGCTTGACCAAATTAAGGATTTAAGTCTTCTAGATGATGTGTGTATATATTTTCAGACAAAGGGGCTCAATGTTTTTAAAAAAAAAAAGCTCTGGCATGATGCTTGATTACTGATTGCTGACTCATGTAGACATTCCCCATTATCTGATTACCCAAGCGCATTGTCAGCATTTCAATTTGTCAGTATTTTTGGGGTGCCAACACTTTTGGAAGATACACAACTACACTTAAGAAATACTCTCAATTTGCTCAATTCAAGTGTGCACATAATTTCCACATGACTGACACGCATTATATCAACATCAGTTTATATACTTTTGGCTGTGCCAAATATGGTAAATACTGCCACCTGCTGGTTGGTGCACAACAAAGAGTGGGGCACAAACTTGCACATCTACCTAATCAACTTAAACATCCCTGCTACAAATGAAATGTAAACTTTGCTTCCAGCTCCAGCTCCTAACAAACTATTCAGCTGAAAATGCAAACATTCCAGCTTACCGAATATGTTAAAGAGGAATTTCACTGATGTGTCAAATTTTCTGCATAATTAAATGATTAACATGTAAACAGAGTCATTCAGAGTGGTTTGGTGTGAAACGCTTCATTCTAGAGAAACTTACAGAGTCAGAGTCATTGTTTTTGTCCGAGACATTGTTTTTGAGATAAGATTCTGGCATTGATAAGACATATTTTTTTCAAATCTATTCATGGTGGAGGGATACATGCAGGGCATTGTGAGGCAAAATAGATAGATAATTAGGGTGCCCATAGCTTTCTCTAGTTAAATGAATGAATGAATGAATGAATGAATGAATATAGGTGTGGACCTTAAAAAGATGAATTAAGGGCGGCTTGATATGCATAATACAAAATACAAAATACAAACAAGTGCAGAGGACTGAAGAGAAATCTTGCAGTGATTCAGAAATGAGGTGCAAATTATTGCAGAAAAGCGAAAGGGGAATTCCACTAATTTTTCAATTTCTGCATAATTCGGTGGTTGAGTGGTCGTTTTTCTTCTCTTTTATTTTTTTTCACAATTATGATAGTATATCTCCTCAGCCTTATGGCTTATAGAGGTGGTGAGGGAGCAAAAAAGAAAATGTCCTATGATATAAATTTTACTGTATTGTGGCTAACTTGATAAACCCAAATACACTTACCTTTTGAAAACAATTTAAAAACAGTGAATGTGTGAATATAAAGAAGCTAGCAATACTACTACTACTACTACTACTTCTACTACTACTACTACTAATAATAATAATAATAATAATGATAATAATAACAGTAGTTTTTTGGTATACCATATAATTGTAATATATATTTTCAACTCCAGACTGATTATGTTGGACTTACAGTCTTCATTCTTCATCAGCATCCTTTGGTCTAACTGGGGCCACTGGAGGACAGCAAAGAGCCACTTTACAAAGCTAAGCGTGATGACCCTTTTTCCCCACAGCGGCACCTTAATTACTCCATATCTGAGATATAACTCTTTATCAGATCTCCAGTATAACACTATGAGAAGCTGTCTTGCTGCCTTTTCAGCAGCATTTGCACGGTGACATTGTTCATAGTTTAAATGCTTTTTATGGAGGGGTTTCTCCACTGACGTCTATGGATTCCCACCGATCCACGTGATTTGTATCAGCAGCAGCGCTGTGTATTTTTCCCACCCGTTTTCCGGAAAGCCACGCCTCCTGCGTTATGATTGGCTAGTGGTAGGTGTTGTAGTCTACGATCATACTCCAAAATATTGGTACTTCACTGAAATTAATGACTTGAGATGCATAAAATCCTTATAATATATGGCTTGAAGCTAGCATATATGAGTTATATTTGCCTTCCGTATATGAAATGTACTTTTTTGCTATTATACATTGTTAAATGTGTTACAAACATGTTTGTATATGGGAATATACAGCTGAAATATCAGTATGTCTCATGTTTGAAAATGGACAATTTCAAATAAGTTGTCATATATGTCGCATGTATGCCCATATGTGACGAATATAAGTTGGATATGTAAGTGAAATCCATACATGCTAATATATGTCATGTATTTGAAATCCTTATTGTATCAGTTTTCCATATATACTTTACTAAACCCAACAAAATACAATAATTCTACCTTCTTCCTTGTGATGGGCAGTAAAACCACATTCACAAGACCACTCAATCAATCAGTAGTAATATTTTTCTATTATTCACTCTTTGTTTGTAAGTAGTAAGACATTTATAAGAAAGAAGGAATAAGAAATATTTCACAGCCTACACAGAAGAACCATCCCAGCCTACACTTTTAAAAAGATGGTTCTTTAAGTGTTGTTTAGTGAAGACAATGGTTCTATGAACCATGAACACTCAAAGAACCATTTGCATGCTTAAATAGATCTTTGCCCGGTTGAAGGTCTTTTTCAGACTGATGGAGAGTATGTTGTGTATGATGCTATATAGAACCTTCTTGAAAATGGTTCTATATAGTGGGTAAAAGTGTTATTTGTTTACTATTGGGTATGATTTCAAGCTTTTAACAATAGAAGAACCCTTTTTGGTGCTATACAGAACCATTTTCAAAAAGTTCATATACAACACATTCTCCATCAATCTGAAGAACCATTTAAGCATATAATATAATAAAATGTAATTTTTGTAAATGCTAAATGCTAGTTTCTGTTTCTGCCGTTGCCATGGTGACGCGAACCGTCCAATCGGCGGCGTGCTTGTGAATTTAAACCGACAGCCAATCAGAAGCAGCAGGCGGCACGCTACTAGCCAATCCCAGAGCAGGAGGCGGGCTTTTGTCGGAATACGGGTGGGTCTTAAAAAAAAAAAGAGAGCAAAAGATAACAGTCCAAAAACCCACCGCGACATGCAGCCACAGGCAACACTCATTCAAGCAAGAGCTCGTCTGCTGTGATTCCTAGGCGACCCGTGAAGGATTACTTTACATTTTTGAACTGTTTGAACTCTCCTTTTGGCTCTCTGCTTCCACTTTTTGTGTTGAGGATGTCGGTAGCAGGCTTGAAGAAGCAGTTTCATAAAGCCAGTCAGGTAAGAAGGAGACGCCCGAGTTCCGTTTTTGACGAAGCTGAAGTCAGCTTTCTTCTTCACCAGCATCTTGTTCGAATTTTCCCGTTCCACCTTAAATGGTGCAGCGGTTACGTTCTGGCGCCCAATTAAGGTGGAACGGGAAAATTCGAGCAAGAAGCTGGCGAATAGGAAACCGACTTCAGCCTCGTTCCGTTTCTGTTGGTTTCGCCACAGCTTCAAGCTTCTCTACATTCATGTTCTCTCATTTCCTTTCACGTTTCACAAGACTCCGCTCCTAAATCCACCCGAGAGTGTTTAAAAGCATCCTTGTGATGTGCTGCTCCTCCAGTCTTGTCTGCTGCTGCCCCAGTTGTTTTCTTCGGACTGCAGCAGCAAAGATGCGCCATGCAATTGATCTAAAACCTGTTTTAAATCCATAATTTCCTTCCCTCATTAAGAAAAGTAGGTCTGTTTAAATCTATTTCCAGTACAACCATATTGTTATTTGTTCTTCTTGGCTCTGCTCTCACTCTTTTGTTATTATTAAGATAGCAAGTTAGCTCCAAGCTACACAATGAGAGTAGACTTGCATTGTGTTACCAGTGCTGGATGTTCATTTTTCTGGCCTGGGTCATCAACAGGAGGGATTTTGGGGATGATACAGATACAATAAGCTTGTTTTCTGCCTACAAATGCAAGGAACATTATTAAATGTTCTGGTATTACAAACACAGAGGCCTAAAGATATGAATTATGGGGCCTAGCTGCTCCTCACGACTTGCTTTGGCTTTCAGAGACTGAAAAACCCAGTTATATGAGGTAATTAAGCTGCTACTGACTAATAATACATTTCTGTAAAGGAGTATTTTCAGGGAACCTGTGGCTCACGCTGAAAGGAAAGGCTCAGCTGGCGTTCAGGCTCTAGGGACCATCTGGACCTTTACTTGTAAGAAGGTAATGATGGCTTACAAGTGGCGGAGAACCTGAGCAGGTGTGTGGATGTTGTTTGGCAGTGTTCGTTTCCTCCAGTGAGGGTATAAAGGTGTATAATCTTGTGTGGGAGAATGTTCAGAAAGGGAGGTAGGAGGCCTTTGGCATGCCCAGATTGGTGGAACACAGTATAATCTCCAGCTGAATTAGTTCACTGAAGACCAAAGTGAATTGCATTGAATTTACTCGATTCAAATGTGTACGTCGCTTCTCCATAAATAATAAATGTTATATTGGCATATTGCTGTCAGACTTGAGTAAGCTAAAAGACAGAATTGTGTGGATGTATATTGTACTTGTATATGGAAATTATGTAAGTTGAGTGGATCAGCTCTATTTAAATGAACACCGTAGGTGTTAACTCAGCAATAGGGATTTGTAGGTGGTGCACAGAGTAAGAAAGAGATGTCAGCTATACTGAGAAATAGCTGCAGCCCTAGACACAGTAAGATGTAACTGAATATTACATAATGTTAGCAAGCATGAAATGTTACATACAGACTTATTAAATACACAGAAGCCTCTAAAACTAAGAAGAACTTCACATTTTTCAGTATTTAGTGTGAAACTCTACCTTTATTCCAGCTTCCATTCTTTTCAGGAGACTCACTTGCAGTTTCTCAAAGAAATCTGCAGACACACCTCCAAAATTCAGTCTTAGAAGTTGGTTGATTATTTTCTGAAGTAATTCAGACACATTCAGTGATACTGAGGTCTGGACTCTGGGGTGGTCAGTCCATTGTTCAGCTTCTTTGTTTGATGTGTCCATCTCCTTTTCTCAGTGAGGCTTCTTGACAGCTACACATCCTTTCAGACCCATAGCGCTGAGTTGTCTTCTCAAAGTGGAAGGATGGACAGAAAAACCTGTGGATGTTTTCAGATCTGAAGCAGCTTGATTTTGTCCTCTCTCTCAAAGATGAAAGCTTTAAGTGCTGTTTATCTGATGGGGGCAGTTTTGGTGTCAACCAGGTCTTGTGGTGGTTTTGAAGAGTCCCGTTTATTCTGTAGCTTTTTAAAGTTTTTTGGACACTCTTGTTTTTTCACTTATTTTCCTTGACTTTATCTTTCTTGGTGCAAGTGACCTTTCTTATATCTAATCTCCTCAGAATTATCTCCTGGAAAATGAATAACTTGTACTTGATGGTCATTTTGAAAATGAAATCAATGAAGGGTGGTCTCTGACTTCTGCACAGTACTGTTTTCGTGATGAAAATGAAAGCTATGAGCAGTCTTACACTTGAGCCTGTATTTTCTACTCTGATTAGAAGGGTACAGGCGAGACTTCCTTGTGTTGTTTTTATGAGCCATGTGATCAGCAAAGACCAGGTAATACGTGACTTTCTACAGAAACATGAAACCGTTAGCTTTAAAGGAACATGCTAGGCTTCATTTGCTTCTCTGACCACAGCTATGTTAGCAAAGTCACTATAGATTATCAGCTTTTTCTTTTTTTTTTTCTTTCTTTTTTTTTGCTTTGTAAGCTAACATGGGCTATTCTCTTAAAAATAGCAATTTGCTTTAGAAAAAATTATATCATGTTGTTATGACACTCATAGCACTATAAATTTTTTCTTTGTTAAACAGCAGTTCAACCAATTTATCAAAATGTGCACATAATTCAATAGTTGAGGTATTAATAAATATAAAAGTCGCCTTGCTCATGGGTGCTTAGACCCGGATTTTTCTGTAAAGCTGCTTTGTAACAACACCTGTTTTAAAAAGTGCTATATAAATAAACTTTGACTTGACTTGATGTAAACAGAGTCATTCAGAGTGGTTTGGTGTGAAATGGTCCAGATTTCTTTACAGTGGTGGTGATAGGAACCAGGGGTCACCATGACTACAACACAGATATAGACAGTTTATTTACTATCCAAAACCACCAGTGAAACTACACGTATTTTGAGTTTTATATGGAATGTTGATGATGGTCAAATTTTGACACATCTGAAAAAAACTATTTTGCCACTCAACACCCTGCTGGTATCTTCATGCCATTAATTTATTTAAAAAATATATACCTTTTAGGCCACAATGTCTTTGAGTAATCTTTGATTCAAACCAATGTCATGATCAATGTCATGTGGCGGCACAAACTAACACAGGGTGAAATACAATAAATATAAAAAAATAAGTTTTCTTTGGGGACTGTTTTGCCTCACAAAATGCATGTATCCCTCCATCATGAACAGATATGTCTTAGATAGGCCAAAATCCTATTGCAACAACAACGTCTCAGACATTAGGCAGTGAATTCATAACCATTTCACATAATAACTTTCTGGAAGGGGACTCTTAGAGGTGGACGTCTGGTTCCTCTCACCACCACTATGAACAATTCTGACTCGGTAAGTTTCTCTGGAATGGAGCATTTCACACCAAACCACTCTGAATGACTCTGTTTACATCTTCATCTTTTTAAATCGGTACAACTCCTCTTTGATTTCCACTTTTCAAAATAAGCTTTTCCTTTTCTCCTCTGTACTGTAAATCTATTGTATAATGGTGCAAAAACCACAATACGTATTGTACTGTGGAATGTATGTATAATTATTCCTTATTCCTTTGCTGTTTACTGACATGTACACTGCCTGTGTGATTAGCACATGAGTCATTCTGTAGTTTCCTATCTGTAGTAATTGCAACTGTAGTAGGCTTTACCTGAACTGTGTGAGTATATTTTCCTGTGTGGGTTTTGACCTGTTCACTCTGCCACTTATCTTTTGATGCAGTGCTGTTTTTTCCCAGCTTTGTTTTCAACCCCTGCTGTGTCTACTCGCTGCTTTCATTTTGCTGGTTTTATGGATTTGAAGGCAAAAAACAAAACATAAACACCGAATTAACTTTCCTGTTATTATGTTTAAGTGGAACATGTTCCACTGTTTGGCACAGCTGGTTGCTATTGTTCACTAATTGGTAACTGAGTTATGTGCATATTTACATAAGCGACAAAACACTATGTTGCCATGAAAATTATATTCCACCCTTTTTATAATTACGCATCTATTAGATATGGCAATTTAAGCATCTTAAAAGGTTTTGATAGATACTCATGTTTAGATGCTATTAGTCATACTGGATTAGTCATATTACGAAGGCTTAACTTGTCGAAGCGTACTTCTTCCTGATGCGTGCCATTCATCTTTGTAAAGCCTTTCCTTTTTATTCTGACCTTTCCTGTTTTCATTGAGTTACTCCTTTTAGGTGCTTCAAGGTCTTGTAAAGTTCTATGAATAACAAATACTGATGATATAAAAGCAGCTAGACCTTGGAACCATGTTTTTTTTTTAACTGGAACTAGGGATGGGCAATATGATAATACTTTATCATTAATGTGATAAATTACCTCACAATATGACAAACATTGTGGAAGTCACCAGTACTTAAAGAGCATGTTTGATTACAAAGAGACTCTGTTTACATCTCAACCACTGAATTATGTGCACATTTTGATAAATTGGTTGAACTGCTGTTTAACAGAGAAAAAAATAATAGTGTAAGAGTGTTATAACAGTTCTAATTACATACTTACGCCTGTATGGTGGGATTTGGTGCGATGCAATGTGTGAAGTATTGAACAAAAATCATTGCATTCATAGTTTTTATTTTATTTTATTTTTTAAACACAACATTTGTGGTTCTTTTTTGTCTGTTTCAATTTCACCTGACCAGGATACTGTGTGCTGATTGGCTGAACGGATTTATCAGGTTCTGCTTGAGAACAGTGCTGATGTTTGACCGTTTCTGCTGTAAAATGTGAACTTGCAAGGCCTTGACAACAAACAATAACAGCTTTAGTGACACAACTTATTTCAGAATGCACTGCGTGTTAAGAATAACTCACGACAGTCAGCTCATTGTTTTAAAGGTGTTTATCATTTTTGCAAATGAACTTTTCATATGCAGTATAAAAATATACAGTCCTATCATTTAGACGTCCACTTAAAAAGCTAGCTCTTCAAGGTATCTTTAGTAAAGAGAGTGCATCTATAAAGAACCATCTGCATGCTTAAAGCGTTCTTTGCATGGTA